TTCCATTGTGTAAAAACCTTTAAAGAACCACTGACGGGTCAAAACACAAGCCCATAAGCATCTTACCTGTCTCGGGTAAGTTTCAGCGCAGCCTTTGATGTTACTGATAATGAGCTTTTACGTATGAAGCTATCAGCTTACGGTTTTACAAAATCAGTACTTCATACCTCAGTAACGAGAAGCAATGTGTTACGTTTAATGGCATCTGTTCAAACTTTGTGACCCTTCAGTGTGGAATTCCACAAGGCAGCTGCTTAGGTCCTCTGCTTTTATAGTATTTTTGTAAACGACATATACTGAGTGAGGCAATTCATAACGGTGTATGCAGAGGATACAGCTATACATGTATGTTCTGATCGTTTGGATCAGGTATATAAGGTGCCGCAACAAGAACTAGTGGGCGATAGAGAACAGGTTAAAACAAAGCGCATGGCGTTGGACTCTAAACATTTTATCAGACTGACTCAAATGTTGCAAAATTCTTCGAACGGACAATCAATAGAACAAGTTAAAGAGGTCAAACCGCCGGGAGTTATTATAGATCAGATGCTGTCACGGTCCTCACATGTACGTGAGATCGTGACTAAAATGAGTAGAAACAAGTCAATAATTCGCTGCAATGTTCATGTTACGTCTCTCGACATGAGAAAACTAGTCTTACAGCCTTTAATCCTTTTTGTCAACTTAACTACTGTCCCGCTGTTTGGTTTATTGATTTAAAAAAAAAAAGATCTGGATAAACTGCGGATAGTTCAAAATAAAGCTGCGAGATCATCATTTGTCTAAAAAAACGTTAACTTCGTGCATCAAAGTCTATGGATGAGGGTCAACGACAGACTTGTAGACAACCTTCTTTTCTTTTTACATAAAAAGTGGATTTTAAATAAACCGTTTGGCCTTACAGTTCTTACCCCCCCTCTAACAGACATGGTTTTAATACAAGACCAGCCTCTTTGATACTTGTACCTCTGCCCAGATGTAACGCCCCCAGACAAACAGCTCTGGACAGAATGAGCCATTCGCGCTGGAATATGTTGCCTTCTGCAACAACATTGACTGGTGATCAAGATGGTTTTAAAAAGAACCTTATATTGAACAGTTAAACTGAACGAGTTCGTCCATCTACGAGTGAAATGCAACAGTGTTTCTCTCTTTATGACAGTTTTTTTGGACTTGTTCTTGTCTCTTGGCTTTTTTTTAAATTTGATGTATTGATTGTAACATTTTTAATGCTTGAGTGGACCCCAAGAAGATCATTTACTACGGTAAAGACTACCGTAATGGGGATCCTTAAATAAAAGAAAAAACAAAAGATGATTAAGACATCGTTCCACCGCGGCTGTTCCTAGTTTGACTAAACTAACCTAGTGGTTTAGTTTGAATGGGAAATGTTTTTATACATGGGAAAGAATTCATATTTACAGACACATTTTTAATAGGCCAACCTTTTTACGGTTCTCCAAATGACACTTTTATATCACACAGAAACCTTGTTAAAAGTAGTTGGTAAAAAAAAAAAAAAAAAATCAACCTCATTTTATGTAACCTCTCCTGTTTTAATGATCATATTCTCTCTAAATTAGATCATTGTCCACGTCTAAATATCTTTGTATTCCTCTTAAAATGACAGGATATAATGTCATATGGTTAATCCTCCTTTTGCGTCACATTAAATAAGCAGTAGTGTGATCTAGTAGAGGCACTGCTGACTAAAAGCTAAACGATTCAGTTCTAGCTTAACCACTGAAACACACACATTAATAAGAGCTTAAACTTTCTGCTGCTTAAAAAGTACAAATCAAGAAGACTAACTGCTTGTAGCATCGGAGAGCAGGTAACATGTTGCACCCTTTACAAAACAAAGTACAACAAGAAAAGAGACGGGAGTTAAATCAATGCGTGTTTCTCAGCAGCGCTTCAGGCTGAGTGTGGAAACATCCCATCGGCCCTTAGTGGGCTGGTTTCTTATCTAACCTAATCTGTGTGGAGTTGAGTCAGAAGTGAGGTCGCTGTCAGCTTCCTCAAACTTGAGAGGCACACGGAGGACCATGCTGTTCTCCACCAAACACCAGCCTGCAAAGATGAAATGAGCAGACAAGTCGTTACGAAGGCTGCCGCACAAAGTAGGTGAGTGGGTTGTTTTTTCTCCTAAACGAGTCTGAGCTGCCTCAGAGTTCATCCGTGCACGGCTCAGTAATTATATCAACATCAGTGATAGTGGGGTCAGCAGAAACAGGAAGACCTTTGGGTTCTCGGGCTGATTTTTCAACTCTAAACTGCTGCAGGGCGATTGTTTAGAGAAAAGATTTCACGGACAGTAAAGTGCCTGTTATCACTTCATGGACTCTGTAACATTCTGTGTGTGTCTAAGCACAATGCTAAAGCCAGGATTT